GGGTCGGGGGGGTCTGCGGTGTTCCCCTTGTTCCTGCCCGCAGCTATCCAAGAGGGAAGCAGGAGGAAAGGGGGGACCTGTTGTCAGTCACTATTGTCAGGGGAGAGTTTATGGTCTTTGGGTTTCTAATTAGACTGAGCATTTTTCCTTCTTCTAATTAAGCCGTAATTCCTTTCTTTTCAACACTCCCACTCAGTCTCCCCCGCCCCAGGCCCTCCCTTCCCCTCGGAGGCTCCTCAGCTCCCGCAGTCACTGCAGTGAGATCCCCACACTGCCCAGCCCTGCTCTAGGCACCACATCCATTTTACCTTGAAACAGAAAGGACGCGCTGGTGGGGAAGATGGGGGGGGGGTGGGGAGGGAGGAGAGAAGCTGCTTGGCTGTCTCTCGGCGGCTCCGTGAGCTCTAGTGTGCACTGGGGATGCACAGGTGGCTGCAGCCGGCAAAACGGCAAGTGGCAGGGAGCTGTCCTGGCAGAGTCACCTCAGCCATGCATCAGGATGACCTTGAATGTCAGGCTCATGGAGCTGCTGCAGCAGGCTGCTCGAGCACAGGCTTGTCTCTTTGGCACCTATGAGAATCAGGCCTTATTTCTGTAGTGAGAGGGTAAAGGTGAATTCTTGTCACGCCCTCATCATGCTGTGCCTCCTGCAACATCCTCCATCTCTCCTCTGAAACAGAGCTGGTGCCCGAAAGGCAAAACTCTAGCTGGGGAGGGGAAAGGATAGCAGTGAGTCCAGCCCTACGTCCTGTGGCCAGGAACTGAATCCCACCCACTCTGCTCTGCTCTCCCCACCAGGAGCGGGTGGGCAGGCTTGGAGGTCACTCTGCACCCTGGGGCCGAGCGCCAGGCTGGCTGGTGGATGTGAAGGCGCGCTGGAAAGGACAAAGATGCTGCCTATGAGTGCCGGCCACCGGTGGAGGAGCAGGTCCCTCATGAGGTGGCAGGAGGCTTGCCGTAAGTAATGCCTACTCAGGTACTCAGTACGATGATCCTCTTTGTCAAGGGAGTGGGAAGAAAATAGGTCGCAGCAGGGTTAAGAATAGGGGAGAGGGACAGCTAAGAATGGAGATGTTTGAACTAATTCCTGATTCCTTTAGAGGCCAGGCTAGCTGGGAGGGAGAGCGAGACTCTAAAGCTGAAGATGGGCTTAAAGTGGGACAGTGTGTGATGATTGCTTCTGAATTCCAGTGGGCCTGACAGGTGAGAAACAGCAAGACAGATACCACCGCACACAGATCCACCCGAACGCTCCTCAGATCAGCATCCTGTAAGCTGCAGCCTCCTCGCTGTGGCAGGGCTTTGTATGTAGGCTGCCGAGCACAGCTCCCAGCTCCCCATGACAGAAGTCATGACAGAATTTAGAAGGGAATACAGGATGCAAATGCAGAATTCTCCTACTGGGCACTGCCAGATGCAGTGAAAATCAAAGAATAAATAAAGAAAATATCTTTCAAATTGAATTGTAAAAGTTCAGCATCTGCATCTTCCTAGTGGACAGAGGCATCTGCTGCAGCACCCCTGAGTGCAGAGCAGAACTGTCAGAGTGATGTGGGGCTTCAGGGGGTGTTCCTGTGTTGCAGAGAAGCTCCTGGGGACATTAGGGAGTGCCTGTCACTGCTGCATACCCAGGCCCGTGGTTTCCCTTCTGCTTGCCCTCCTGATTGAATTTGGGACAGCCACTGTAAGAAGCTGAGGGAATTATTTCTTTCTCCAAAAAGCAGGCATTTTTGTAATCCATCCTCACAGACTAGAATGCCATATGAATTATTTACAATGAATACTACTGAATCTTGACTTAATCTGATATTCCTGGATCAGCTTTCTGCCACCTACACGAGTCACCAAACACCTCACAAAGTAACTTCATCTTCACCTAACACAAAAACACATGCTGCTCATCCTACTGCAGGGCTGTAAGAGAGTTTCAGGTTCTGCCTATTGCTTCCCTCTCTTCCCTGTAAAGCTGTATTGTAGCCATTTCTTGGTCTCCACTCACATCTTAGTGGATGCATCTCTTGCAAGGACTGAAAATGAAATCAGACTTTCTCTTCCCTGTGATTTTAGTACAGTGTTTCCAAGGAAATGATGAAACCAGGCTGAGAGGTACATTTGATGCAACCGAAGGAAGGGATGCCATCCAAAGAGATATGGACAGGTTTGAAAAGTTGGGCCCACCTGTTGTTCTGGTGGATAAAAAGCTGGACATGAGCCAGCAGTGTGCACTTATAGCCTGGAAGGCCAACAGTATCCTGGGCTGCATCAACAGAGGGGAGGCAAGCAGGGAATGGGAGGGATTGTCCCCCTCACCTCTGCTCTTATAAGGCTCCATCTGCAGTACTGTGCCCAGGCCTGGGGCCTCCAGCACAAAAAAAGACGGAGCTGATGGGCTCAGAGAAGGGCCATGAAGATGATCAGAGGGCTGGAACACCTCTTCTATGAAAAAAAAATTGAAGGAGTTGGGCTTTTTTAGCAGCTTGAAGAAGAGAAGGCTCCAGGGAGACCTCATTGTGGCCTTCCAGTACTTGAAGGAAGGGAGACCAACTTTTAATACTGTCTGATAGCAATATAACAAGTGAGAAGGGTTTTAAATCAAAAAAGGGAAAATTTGGATTAGATATTAGGAGAAAATTGTTTACTCAGAGGGCGGTGAGGCCATGGCATAGTTGCCCAGAGAAGCTGTGGTGCCCCATCCCTGGAGGCACTCAGGGCCAGGTTGGATGGGGCCCTGGGCAGCCTGAGCTGCTGGGTGGCAGCCCTGCCCATGGCAGGGGTGTTGGAACAAAGCAGAATATGGATAATAACAGACATTTTTGGCACATCCTAGATGGCTGCAGAAACTGGGGATAAGTGCATTTCCTGAACAACCACAGCCAGCTGCCTGAGATTATATTCCTATCCACCACAGTCAGCACCCCACAGGCAGGTGGTTGGGAGCCAACAGTGGGTAGGTGTTTGGGGAGATAAGCCCCAAACAGAAGGCTACCTGTATAGCTTTACACAGTCTGCTCTTGCCTTTCTCAGTATACAAAGAAGCTAAGAGTTATCTCATCATCACAGCTGTCAATCTATTATTAATAGTGTACTTTTGTTAAGCATCCAGGAAAAGACAGGGTCACTCGAGTGACTCATGGCTCTCTCCCTTCCTCATTCTAGTTCTCATTCTTTTAATTCTCTTCCTACAACAAGAGAGTGATGTATTCTGAATGGAATTAAATATCACCCAGCCAGGCAGTACCTGCACTGTGCCAGTTCACAGGCTATGATCTGCTTTCATGTCAATATCTGCTGTTGACCCCAACCTTTGCATGATAAGAAAGCACAGAGGCGCTCAGGGTAAAGATCTCGCCTATACCTTACTGTAATGTTCTATAATTGTCATTAAAAGAGCAGGCTGGCATGGCTTGGGCTGGTGTACACCTGAGATCTCAATTGTAGAGCAAAAAGAAAAATTCTTGAAGGAATTGTGAAAGGATGGATTAAAAAAAAAAAAAAGAGCAGAGAGATTCTCTCAGAACACCTATCCCCTGGTCCTTAATAAAGTTATATAGCTTAGCATCCAAACTGTGCATTTCTCCTTAGGCTGTCAGTCCAAAAATATGCCAATTCTCACAAGGATCACCGGGAACACAAAAAGAACTGACACAGGGTGACAGGACTCAAGTATGAAGGCAGCATCACTGACAGAAGCCGAGTTGATACAAAAAATGGGAAATGGGGACTGACTAAACTCTGGAAACAGTGGCATGAGGGAAGAGAGGTGAAGCAGACCTGTCTGCAGACCTGTCCCAAACAGAGCTTCTCCTCAACCTGGGCGTCCACCAGCTACCTCTCCTGTGACAGTCTCTTCAGAATTCCCCTTGGGACAAAAAATAAAATACTTGCTGATTGTTTGATGAAGAAGAGGGAATGCAGGCAGGGCACAGTTTTCAACCCAGGAAAGAATAACAAGACAACAAATGCATCAATTTTTGCTACCATTCATTGCTAAAGACTACCAGGCCCAAGTGACTTCTCTGACGCAAAGTGATAGGGCATAATGCAGAGACAAACTTATTTCAGTTTTAGTCAAATGCTCAAACTCATCACCTTAAAAAAAGCAAGGGAGCTGAATTTGCTTCCCACACTGAAGCAATTAATCTCAACTCCACAAAAGGAATTGGGATGAAGGATGCAAATGTTTTACACAGTCTGCTTAAACATAACTCCCACTCCTCTAACGACAGGAGGCACAAAGCTTGCTTTCCTGTTGCTGATGCTTCCTTGTCACAGAAATGAGAGTTTTAAAAGTCATTGGCTCCCAGAAAGGGGTGACAACTACAGCCCTGACGCTTCTCACAGGATCTGAATCCATTACTGGAACAGGATCCAGAACAGCTCTAAAAAATGCTGTCTTGTGGAATATCTAACCTTACCTTTGAGTAGAAGAGTGTGTGTGCTAACCCTTTTTTCTAACATCCTTTCTTCAATTACAAGGCTGGAATTTGTTCCTCATCTACTCCTATGAGTAATTTTGGTTAGAGATGCTTGTGGGGCTGTTGCTGTGGGACTCAGAAACTATTCTGAAAGCAATGGCACATACAAAGTGCCTGCTGGCTTAGTATCTCATTGTTAGTTGCTAATAGCTTTCTTTGGTCATCCCTTTGTAAGTTAATCTAATTCATAAGAAAGTCTTTCCACAAGGCCAGCACAATATGCTGTAGATATGGAGAGCAAATGATAAGCTGATTTAGAGACTAACTTGGACTTGAGTCTGATGTCATAAAGACCATGACACAAACTGTAAGAGTAAAATTGAGATGTAGGTTGTTTTGTTTTGATTTTCCTTAAAAGCTTTTTATTAACATGCTTACTTCTTTAAAAAATAGAGCTTCTTAAATATATTCCACTGACTTCCCTCTCTCAGCTCTGACATTTTGAAATAGCTGTCCTTTATCAGAGGTAACCTCTCCTACAGCTCTCTGTTCCTTTCTCTCCTGACTTCTCTGGCAGCAAAGTCATCTGGGATCACTGGGGATTGGACTCGATGATCTCTAGAGGTCCCTTCCAACCCTAAAATTCTGTGACACAATGTCCTGTGAAACTGGAAGGATATTTATTTGCTTGCTAATTAAATAAAGGCTTACTAGAAACTCATGCTAGCAGGGTGCAGGCCAGCAGCAGGAGGATCTGTCTGTGAGGAAGCTCCTTTTCCTTGGGGCACTATGGTGAGGAGTACCCTTGTGAGGGCCATACTGGGCTGTAGCTGTGTACAGAGTGGTGCTGGCTGAGGATGGGTAAGCACTGTTCTAAAACATGCATTTTCTCTTCCCTCTCCCTTGCTTTCCACCTCCCAGTGCTTGGCTGCTGGCTGTCGCTGTGTGCTGCAGAGTCCTTCTTTGCCTGCCCTTCCTCCTGCAAGTGTAACAGTGGTATCCTGGAAGTGGATTGTAGTGGCTTGGGCCTCTCTTCCATCCCCTCAGACATCCCCACAAACACCAGGACCTTCCTCTTTCTCAACAACAAACTCAGCATTCTGCCGGGACCAGTGTTTTCCAATCTCTCTGCCCTGCAGAGGCTGGATCTATCCAACAACTTCTTGGATCAGCTCCCACAGAACATCTTCAGTGACCTGGGGAACCTCACAGAGCTCCAGCTGAGGAACAACAGCATCCGGGCCTTGGACAAGGACCTTCTGCAGCACACGGCCCTGCTGCGCCAGCTGGATCTGTCCATTAACGGCCTGGCCCAGATACCCTCGGGCATCTTTGATGACCTGCCTGCTCTCCGCTCCCTCTCGCTCAGGTCAAACCGCTTGCAGAGCCTGGACAGGGTGACCTTTGAGCCTCTAACCAGCCTGCAGCAGCTCCAGGTTGGGGACAACCCCTGGGAATGCGACTGCAACCTGCGGGATTTCAAGCACTGGATGGAGTGGTTCTCCTATCGAGGTAGGTGCTTGCGCAGAGGGAGAGGAGCGGGCAGGTGTTAGTTTGCCACGAGAAGGGAGGAAAAGCAAGCAGACACAGCTGGCAGATCAGAACAACCTAAATTCTGGATCTTAGCCAAGGAGCAAGAGTACAGTGCGATAAAGCTGACTGACAGCATAACGCTGCTGCACCTTCATAAAGTAATGCTGCCAGGCTTGAGAATCCTCTGCAGCCTCAGGCTCCCTAGTTCCTCATTTTGTTTTGAACCCCTAAGATGACTTTTTTTTCTTTGAGAGGAAGGTACTTTTCTCAAATAACTTCAAAACTTTAGGGTTATAAGTTCCCCTAACCCTTTGTGCCTAAAGAGAAGAAATGCTTTTCAACTGAAAACAACAGTCCAGGACTTCTCCTTAGGCTGGGAGAACTACAGGCTGTATTTGGCTGTGAAGCATTGAGTCTGCTTTCAGCAAAAGAACCATGGGAACAGTGTTGTTTTGGAAAATATTACAACTAATATTGGCAAATCCAAAGACTTGGATTAATAAGTCAGTCCCTAAATCATTATTTCAAAATTAGTATTTTTTTGACAAGTTTGTATTTACAGCTTATCCTTGGAGGCTAGAAAGGTCTGTATCACGCTGCAGGAATTCTGACGGATAATTTCAGGACCTGCGACTCACAGCAAAATGGCACATCTTACAGGAATGACGATTGAAGGCCTGACCTTCTGTCACTGCAGCCAATGAGCAGGAAAGGGTCTCAAATCATGTGGGTAGCAGCAGTCAGCTGTCACATCCCTGCTGATCACAGCCATGCTGCAAAGAGATTATCTATGCCTATGGCTAGACTGCAGTCTGAAAGATGCATTTGTGTGAGCAGAATCAAACAAGCATATGAGTGCCACTTTTCTCTTTTTTTTTGTTTTGTTTGACTCTCATATGTATGACACAGGCCATAAAAAGCACACGGAGGTTTTCGTTTGTTTGTTTGTTGTTGTTTTTGTTTTTTTTCCCCAAAAAAGAAATTGCCCAAACTCACTCAAGCATTTGTTTCAACATCTGTCACTATTTCCATAAGGGGGGGATGGATTAGTTGTTAGAAGATGGTACTGTGTATCTGTTATTTTGAGAAGATAGAGCCTGGCCCTATCTTTTTCTTTAATTTCCCCCTTTCTAAAATGATTCTGCTGACACTTACATAACTCAGTAAAAAGCATGAGACTGACTTAATAGATGGTTTCAGAGGGCTTTCACATCTTGGTCTTAAAGATACCTACACAGATATCAAACATCATGAGCCCTACTGTCAAATTCCATTTAGGTAGAAGTATCCTAGCCAGCCATGGTTCAAGCCATTCCCTTGATGGTGGGCTAAGGCATGCAAAACATCTCTAAATCAATCAGAACAATCATTTTAAAGGATATCATGTGCACACCTGCCTGGTGCATGGAGGTGCAGCCATTGCTGCTGTTCTCCACCCTTCAGAAGGCTGCAGATCTGGTAGCATTTGAAGGCCTGCAGCACATCTTGACTTCAGTCTTACCCCTGAACTCTAGATGCGTACTGTGCAAGACTGTGGCTGCATTTTGGGGTAGGGAGAAGATCTCTGAATATTCTGTTTACTCAGTAATGCATTCACACATGAGGGACTGGATTATATTTAAGATGAGAGCTACTGGCCTTAAGTTGGGCCAGGCGAGGTTCAGGTTGGACATTAGGAAAAATTTCTTCTCAAAAAGAGTTGTGAGGGATTGGAACAGGCTGGCCAGGGAGGTGGTGGTGTCACTGCTCCTGGAGGTGTTAAAGAACTGTGCAGGTATGGCACTGGGGGACATGGTCAGAGAGCATAGTGGGGATGGGTGATGGTTGGATTAGGTGATCTTAATGGTCTTTTCCAACCTTAATGATTCTGTGATTCCGTATGGCCTCAGAGCTGTACTGAAGCAGTCCTCCAACCATCATGCTGCTGCACTTGACTTCTGCAGGACAAATCCTTGTCAGGTATGAATGGAGACAGAGGAACTTTATCTCACCTGGGGATCTAGTTCCGTTGTCCTTAGATGCTATGTCATAGCTCTGCATCAGAATGAAGCTGTGGTTCACTCCTGTTATCTCTGTTGGGACAGGTGGGAAAATCGACCAGCTGGCATGCACCCTGCCCAAGGAGTTGAAAGGGAAGGATATGCGAATGGTGCCCATGGAGATGTTTAACTACTGCTCACAGCTGGATGATGAGAACAGCTCCACTGTGCTGGACAATACTGGCCCGCCCTGCACAAAAGGAGGCCCGACTCCCTCCAAAACTAAATCGGGCCCAGAACCAGAAGTGGAGCCCAGCGTGGGATGCCCTCAGAAACAGCGATACCGGCCTGTGAGTGTACGCCGGGCTATTGGCACTGTGATCATCGCAGGGGTGGTTTGTGGCATTGTTTGCATCATGATGGTGGTGGCGGCTGCTTATGGCTGCATCTATGCCTCCCTCATGGCCAAGTATCACCGGGAGCTGAAGAAGAGGCAACCGCTCATGGGTGACACAGAGGGTGAACATGAAGAGCAAAAACAAATCTCTTCTGTGGCATGAGACTCTTGTAGGAAGGAAGGGACAGCAATGAACAAAGGTACCTAAGAGCAGTCAAGCAAGCATGGGGTCCTCCCAAAATACACATCTTCCCAGACAGAAAGACAGACTGTGCTATTGTTCCACTCACCCAAGCAGTGCAACATGCTTCTGGGGAGTCAGGGCATCTGACTCTAATTTCTGTTCTTCTGCCCCAGGCCCATTTGTGCCCTTTCACCCTTGGGCCCAGACAAATAAAGTAGAGTCAGACCTCGAGTGCTTGCTGTGCCTCATGCCCACGCACAGAGCTTCCCTTGCATGCCTGCTGTGGAGACAGCTGGCACCTTCTGGGAACCTGTGTCATCCTCTCAGCCTCAGTCCTGAGTCGTCTTGTATCCCATCAAGAGCTGTCTGGAAACAGAGAGAGCAGCTCTATGAAAGTCTGTGGGAGGAGCATGACCAGAAGTGTCCACACCTCACTGGAAGGGTCACTGCTGCTGTGTGACTGTAACTCGCTGCCCACAGTGTGCCCAAGAGCGCATCAGAAGGGATCAAGGGCCCCTTCTGGGTGACAACAGTCAGAGAGAGGCTTCGTTTCTCATTTTTAAAGGTGGAAAGATACCTAAATCACTCTAACACGCTGCCAGAGAGCACAAAGTCCCTCTTCTTGCTCCCAGCCAGCACCCTATCTGCCAGTTGCCTCATCATCCATTATAGGTGCACAGAGAGAGAGCCATCCCCCTGTACATGCTTCCTGACTCACTGTGATCCGAACGCACACACACAGTCTGGTCAGCTCCATACAAGCAGACACTATGCCTGCGTATCCAGCGTCACATTTGCACATACTGATCTGCCCTGTGCATGCAGCCATGCATCCATCTAGCCACTGCAGCTTAGTCTTATTGTAACAGTGTGCAGTAACTTCTGCTTTGGACAAAATACATGAATTCTGCCACTGAGGAGCTAAACAAACTTCTCAGCCACAGTAGGGAGCTGGTGGAAATGGGGAGGAGAGGACAGAGAGAGGCAGAATTATTAAGGTTTCAGCATGAGTCAGTGGAAACAAATGCAGAGCATGAAAAATAAGGAAGTTCTGTTATTCATTTTATATATTCTCTGATAGATGGAGAAAGCAAAGATATGAAGCCTCCATTTGGAAATGTCTGTTAGGCAGAGCAGATGTGGGCCATCAGGAAGAGGAAAACATGGCTTACCAGTCCAGGCAGTGTGATTGCTGCTATAGGGTCATGTGGGCTGAAGGGGAGAAAAAGAAACAACCTGAGAGCTGACATTACTAGCAGAGGGAAGAGCACAGTGTGCAAAGTAGAGCAATGTATCTGGGCAACTGGAGAGAGGGGCACAACTCTGGAGGGTCTTAAGGTAAAGGCTGAAAACTAGACCATAGTGTGGCACAGGTGGGAGAACCTGAAAAGGAGTTGGCATGGTGTACAGCATGGCCCACATACGCTCACCTCACCATCACCATTGTGCTCACTGACAGCTACAGCTGCGTGAGCATGCCCATACACAACTGCACACACTGCTGCTCTCATGCAGAGTGTCTTCCCCCAACCAGATTTTAAAGCCCTCAGACTGCAGTGCCTCTTATTAGTCTCAGCTCTTTTCAAACTGACAGGGAAGGAAAAAAAAAAAAAGCGAGAGAGGAAAAAATGAAGGAAACTCAACATAAGGACTCATTTTGTATTGCTGGAAGTGGATAAAATGCTGTCTCCAGGGGAGAGCACACATTGCCATGGTAACCTGCTCTAACCCATCACAGTGGGTATTCCTGGGCTAGGAAGATGACACCAGAGGTCGTGCATCCAGTGTCTGTGGATGGTGTGATCCTTGCCATGAGGAAACAAGCTGGCAGTGAGCCCAGCTTGGCAGGGTACTTTGCGAGTCACCCGTGTTCAAAGGCCAGCAGGCACTGCAGGTGCCACTGCCAGGGCACCTCACCTCTCCCTCCTGCTCCAGCTGGATCCCGAAGCCTTCAGACATCTCACAGCCCTCCTGCTCGCTGCTGCTAGGTCCCCGTGGGAATGATGCATACCAGCTCCTCACCCCCCCCCTGATCCCAGACAGGTTGTACTGACCCACGGGCATGCAATGACAAGTCTTCAATCAAAGCCTGGATTTGCAAAATTCCTTCTGGTCTACCCAGGGCCACCAGAGGCAAAGAGACAGGATGCTCTGGACTATGCTAAGCATGACACAGGGCTGCATGGGACAGACGAGGATGTTCTCCAGGAAGCAGAAGATCAGGCTACCCTGGAAGAAGGACTGGGAGAAAACTGTCCACCCACCAGCGTGGGCACACATCACACTCCCACTCTCAGCACACTGCTCGTGAGGAAGATGAGGAGGAGGAGGGAGGCTGGCAAAATGTGAGGAGGAAGGACTCTTCTCCCATGCACACTGTACAGCCACACAAACCATCCCATCTGCCGCAACCATAGCCTGCTCTGAAGGGCAGAACTGGTGCACTGCAGACTCCTTATGTGTGTTACTGCTGCTCCACATTCCCAGCAAGCCGGGACTAGACTCTGCCTGCTGGATCCAAATCCCCCCCCAATCTCCCTTTCAGGAGAACTTTTCCCTTTACCATACTGGACTCCGCAATCATACTTGAAATGGGACTTGAG